CCAGTCATCACATTTTTAATATTCTAAAATCATTATATCACTCCTCTATGGGCTATCTATTTCTAAACAACCGTTTTATAAATGTAATGTATTTGGATCATATGATAAATAACTTTTTGTTAATTTACTATATTATTTATAGATTTCGTATTTTAGTTAGACATCTCTTAAAATACATTGAAATAAGCATTTGTAATTTATTTTTATATGGTATTAATCAAAATTTTAACTTTTATATGCCTGAGCTAGTCTATTAAAATATTTCGAAAATCAGATTGGGTTTTATGTGTACTGAATTTTTAAGGTAAAATTGTCTGATCAGGCCTGTTAAGAATTTTTGTGGGTATAATATGAAGTGATCCCTTTTGTATTTAAATAAGTGAAGCAAAAAAAACCACACTTATTACCTATTAATTATCAAATTTATTCTTGAGAATACATATAACTGTTTATTTTCATGATAAAAGCAGTTTAAATTTAGCCCAAATATTAAATACTAAATGTTATATATCTAAATATGACCAAAAAATGTATTAGTAAAGGAAATTCAATCATAATTTTTTAAAATTTTTACTTCATACTTGTAGAATTTTATTAAAGATTCCGTAACTTTATAAAGTAATTATGTCTCTAAATGAGGCAGGCAATTCTATTCATTAATTTAACTTACATTGATATGGGCTAGCGACTAAGATAATTTTTCGGTATAAATTACTTATTTTTTTTAGAAAATTGAATTAATCAACTCGAATTTATAAATTTAATATAACAAATATTATTTTTAAATTTTTCCATGGGCTATTTATTTGAAAAGCTTTGCTAGTTAGCAGGGATTTCTACACCCCTATACGTCAGTGACAATATTATTCAGCTTGAACCCCTAACCCACTCAAAAATTTTACCACCACCCCCCCCCCCCTTACCATATCAAAATTAGCAAATAAATATTCAAATCGAAATTAGCAAAATAGGAAGCCAAAATCTCCCCTACCCCTCTAATTTCTCAAATGGCGATAGCATCTTCATACCTATCTAACTTTCCTCCCATTGTCATACTGCCCTCCCAGTGGTCCAGGATTTTCTTATAGGGGGGGAAAAATTTTTGGGGGCTTCGCCCCCAAACCCCTTTAACCTGGCCTTCGGCCAGCTTTTCCCCGGCCTTCGGCCGGGTCTTATTTAGCTATTCTATTAAATTATGAATAATTTAATAATAATTATTAACTATTATTTATTAATTCGTGCTTATGGATAGGATATTACAAGCCTCTTTTTTATTATTTAAAGTTAGGTATATTATATTTAATAAAGTTTTTTTAAATGTAAAGGTTTATTTATGTGTAAAGTTGAAATAAAGTGTAATGTCATTTTTTTTTAAATTTGCTTTAAAAACTAGCCTCAGCTTAAATTCTCATACAATATAAGTAGAATATAATTTTTTTTATTGAAAATACTAATAGTAGTTAAAAATATTGACTAGAAAATAATTAAATTAACAAGTTTTTTTTAACTTCTTATCAAATACAAGATTTTTAATTATTTCGTTCCATTTAGCCGAGATTCAGTACTTCGTAAATATGTTTTCAACCTTCTCAAGTTGGAAAAAGTCCTTTCATTCGTACATGTTGTAATAGGCAAACATGCAAGAATATAAAACAACTTCGAAATATTGGGAAATTGAGCCAAGGTTTCTTTACACCGATTGGGCGCATCAATAGCATGCTCAGGTAAAATAGCTAAACGTATAAATATTTATACCACAATTCGAATTCACTGATTAAATTTATTTTATTATCAATCTCATAGGAATAAAATTTTTCTAAATATTTAATTTTACCAATAGTGGCATTAGAAAATGAAGAAGGATCTTTGGGTAATAAAACTTGAAGATTGCTAAAGACTTGTTTTTTATCTAAAACCCGTACTTTTATTTGCTATAAAAAAGTATCTAAGGATGGGATGAAAATGGATATTTTATAATATTCTTCAGTTGAGCCAATATTTATTTTCATCTCAATAATGGCCTAGGTGCTAGACGAGGTTTAATTAGTATTATATCATAAAATTTAGCCTTCGATTCAACGTCTAGATAAATATTATGAAAATATTTATCTACATTCATTCTTATTGTATCTACCTGTTCATGTATATTTTCCAATGTTCCGCCAAATCAATAACTTGAACCAAATCTAAATTTGGTTTTTGTAAATTTCTACAAAGTAGTGAGCTAAAAATAATTTATTGTTGCAACTAGCAGCAATGATAAACTCTGATTGATCAATTGAATTCAATAATGATATCGCTGCTAACGACACATTACTTTTTTTCATGCTCAGCCTTATTTATAAATTATCGTTTGATTTCAATCTCTTTGACTAAATATTTTTCCATTTTATTAATATTTTTGAATAATATGTTGGAAAATTGATATTCAAATATTTGTAAAATTTTGATTGGTGGGGGGGGGGAATCTGGGGGGTGGGGGTAAAATTTTTATTAGCTTAAAATGATATTTATGAAAATAGTCAAATTTGCGATGGGGGGGGATTTCCCCCTTTCCCCCCATTGGTTACGCGCCTGTGCCCTCCCCTGGAGTAGAATTTCCCGCAGCTAGATAAAAATATCAATGAATGTGTATCATAATATATCCTAATCTCTCTACTCTTCAAAAAAATAACCGAGGATTAAAGGTATTTATTTTTATAGGAATAGTTAGTAAATTAAATTAACTGATATCGAAATTCTTTAAGCTCTAAATACAGACACTAAAATCTGAAGCATCACATTAACAATAATAAAAAATATAAGCATAAAAGTCTTTAAGAAAGGAAACTCAAAAACATAATGCACATAGCATTAAATTTTAAATGCTCAATTTTTCAAATTAAATCTCTGGTTACATTGATCTTATAGATTTATAAAAATATCAAAACATCAATTCTAATAAAAAATGAGATAAAATAATAAATCATAGATGTGCCAATACCACTTCAAGCTTATATACCCGTCAAATTTTTTTTTATTTATGAAATTGAATCCAAAGAAGGCATAAATTTGTTTTAAAAAATCCCAGGCTTCATTTCCATAAAAATATATTTTGATTATTAATTTGCCATAAAAATTCCTTTCATTTTAATGAAACTTGTGGTCGTCATTTATTTTATTGTATGTCTAAATATTAGGGATCCAAACCGTACACAATATCGGTTCGATTCAGGTTTAGCTTCAGATAAAAATAACTGTTCACTCAAGTTCGGTTCATAAAAAATAATATAGGTTGAGTTTGAACTTTTAAAAACAGCGTATTCAAATTATGTTAATAAAAGGACATTTTTAAAACTTTGTCACTATTCTCTAAAAAAATTATATTAAGCCGTATAAATTAAAATATTTTCAAGATTCACCTCTGTCAAATAATATAATAAATATTTTAAGGTAAGAAAACTTCCATACGGATCGTAAAATAGCGATAGAAAAATATCGAAAAATAATTACTGATACTCATCAATTGTAAAAACTGATTATATATCATTTTTAAAAGAGTTAAAATATCAAAATGTTTAAATCTGTTCGTAGGTATTTAAAGAGGTGTTCAGGTTCGGGTGTCAAATTTTTTAAGGTTCAAATTCGGTAAATATTAGTAGTTAATACTGGTTTCGCTGTTCAATAAAGTTAATTCCAAGAGATTTATTCTTTCATATATGTTTAAAAATTTGTAGATCTTTTTTTTTCATCTCATTTCAAGGCTTAATTTAGGCCAATTTTTTCACCCAATTTATGAGGTTTAAATATTATTTTAGGTATCGGCTGGTATCGTTAAAATTGAATTTGATTTAATTAAAATCAGTTCTGCAATGTAGCTTCGATGAAAGTCACGTCAGTAGTAAATGGTGTTAATTTTTAAAGAGAAGGAATACATCCATTGCTTTTTAAAAAGCAACGAGCGCACTATTTTTTAAGAAGCAATTTTTTTTAAGAATTTTTTTTAGTAATGAACATTTTATTAATTAAATTATTTAATTAATATCAAACGAAGTAAAACAATCCAACTATCTTTGAACTACCCCATTTTTTCATCCAGAATCAAGATTATTAAATTAACGATGAATCAATAAGTAAATGAATTTATATTATCTTATATTTATTATATTGATCTATTAAATAAAAAGTCCCGCAACGAGTTACTTTTTTTGTAAGGCGACAATAAAAAATGTATAATGTTTTTACACTGTTTAAGTTTTAAACATTATTTAAATTTTGGAGTTTATAGTGATTATTTACATACAGCTTTCAAGAGACCGCCAAGAAGACAAAAGAGTGCTCAAACGTTGTGAGCGAGTACGCTTAAATATATTTTATAAAAGATTTTAGCATATAAAGGTCTAATGATGTTTTTCACAGCTTAACGACATATGTTAGAATTTTGATTCAAATAAGGATTTGCTAAAGATTTTTAAAAATTAGAAGAATAATGTTTTTTTATAATATTCATTTGATAGGGAATTATGCCAGGCTCTAAAGGAAGGGGATGCCAGAAAAATAATTATACCCCATGGCTTAAAAATAAGTTACAACCCTCGGGTCTAAAAATATTCTTTTTACAAAAATTGGGCATAGTCGAATTATTTAAAATTATTATATATTGGAATATTTTATAGAGAACTTAACTTAACATTCATTTGCTGTTCACATTTTCAATTTTCCAAAGTCAAAATTATTAAAAATCCCTTTCGGGTCATGAAAGAATTTAAATTTTTAAATTCATGAGGATTTAAAAATAAAAACTGGCGCCGGGGTTAGAGTTAAAATTGATTATAAAAATTAAATCCAAGGACAGGGCCTAAAATTTTGACTTATGCAGGCCTCTGCGTTTTATTTATATATATCTATAAACTATTTAGGAATGCTAAATTAAATTTAAAGTATAAGCTTTTGTATCCCTTTTGAAATCATTTATTATAAAATAACTACATAGTAGAAAAAAATGAAATGTAATTTCTTACATCCAACAGTTGCATTCCGTCCTGAGAAAAGTATTACAAAATATGATGTAACGTATAAAGAATTTGTAGAACCTATGCTTCATAATAGATTTGAGTTTCTTCAATTTATGGTTTGGGAATGAATCCGAAGGAAATGCCTCCAAAAAATCATTGTAGAACTTATTTTAGCAGGAATTATGATTATCTACCAGAGATAAACCCGTAGATAATGTTTCTTTTTTTTAAATTAATTTATTGTTTTTGAATTTGTCACTCAATTTTTTTTTTAAATAAAAAAAAATATTAAAAAATTGTGAAAAATAATATATTTTATATTTTTTTATTATATTTAAAAAATATTTTTTTTACACATCATAAAATTTGTGTTTCTTCTCTTTTCTTATTTTTTTTTTACCATACAAAAAAAAACTAAAACGCGCATAATTTAATATAATTATTTTTCGTGCTCAAAAAAATATTATTTATGGGGATGATATACGAGTCAATTATATTTTATAATTTGGTAATAAATTGATTGTAAAAAAAAATAATTTTAAAAGGAAGAAAAGAAATAATTCAATACAATATTAATAAAACTGCAGAAAATCACACTTTTCATACCTTTACATTTCTAAAACTAAAATTACTTATCCTGAAACTTCTAAATTTACCTACTCCTTATTTTAAATATTTAGCTCGGTCTAAAAACTAAACTCTTATGGGTAATTAAAAATGATCAAAACATATATGTCCTTAAGTTCCCTTTAAAGAAAATATCTTTGTAGAGGCACAAGCATAACACAAAAATCTTTATGCCCTCCGCAAAAAACAAATTATTATGTGGCCCATATCCATGACTTGAGACTCTTGTTTCTGAAAGTTTGGGCCCTCTGGCGTCGCACGTTGCTAAGCTTCTTTTTTTTAAGATAGTGTAACTGGGAGATAAGCTATTTTTTATTTCATTATAAATATGAAGTGGATAAGCTATTTTTTATTTCATTATAAATATGAAGTGGATATTATATTTTATATAACCTTGTTGGCATTTCAGTTTCTTAACCCAAAAATGTTGTTTATCAAATCAACCGTAGCTAAAATATAAATAATCTAACTGTGTATAATAATAATAACAACGACGATAAAAAGATGATTTACTTCTTATTTATGTATAGGAAATAAAATTTGTTATTAATAAATGAAATATATATTAGATCGTTTTTTTAAATGTCTTCTTTTCTTTGTTTGAACGCCGCTAAAGTAAGATGAAGAAATATATTATGTATAAAAAAATAAAGTGTATAGGCATTTTTTCAAAAACCACCCCATACATTAATAATAAATAATATAAAAAATAAAAAGACATTAAAAAAATGAAAATCTATTATATACTTAGTTATTTTTATTACATTTTACAATTTCAAACAATTTTACAAAAAAACAGGATCAAACCAATATGTAATAAAAATAAACTTAATTTCTTTATACAAAAATATAAATAAAGATAAGTGTATTAATTACAGAGGTGGAATGATGATTGTTTCGACCTCGTGTGCGAATTTTTTTTGCGTTCTCATTTTTATGCCCCCCGCCCCATACTATTCATTTTGCGGATCTTTAGCCGACCTCCGACCTGGTCCCCTTTAAAAGTTTATTTGTATCACATGTTTACTAATGGGGAATTTTCCCTTGCCCCCACATACTTCTATGATGTTATCTATCATGTCATAATCTTTTTATTAAAAATAAAATAATTAATATACAAATTTCTAACCCGTAGACATGCTTTTGGTCAAAAATTATAGAAATAATAAAAAACATTAAACGGCTACATGTCAATACAGAGAAAATTTTAACCCGAAATGCATTACCATGAGTATAATATCGCGAATGCATTTGCGCGAATCTATTACCGCGAAAATCTATCACGAATGCATTAAAGTGAAGGTATTAACGCAAAAAGTTACGAATGCATTACACCGAATGGATTATCTCAGCTGTAATAAGGGATAGCAGTTTGGTGAAAATTAAGCTTTTATATTTATCGGCCTTTAGATAGACTTAATGGGACCTGAAAATAGACCTAACAGAGGCTTGGATCTTAAAATAAAATTTTTATAAACCGGGCTCGAGCTTTTCCTTTTTTTGACTCAAAATATATAAAAAAATATTCTACGCAATAAAATAAATGTTTTCTCTAGTATTAGGAAGGATAAAGTAAATAAATTTTTATATTATTTAATTGTTTAAATATGCATTTAATTATATTTTTCCACTAAATTTGGGAAAAGACAATCTCAGGCCTAAAAATAAATAAAAATGTTGAGTCAGACTGGGGACGAAATAAATTCATTTTCCAAGGCACAAAAACCAGCCTTAACGTTGAGTCAAACAGATTATAGGTCCTCGGAAATAATTTTTATTTCTTTGACTAAACATGCTTTAGTTAGTGAGGGATTAAAAGTTTAATTTTATTATTTAGGTATTTTGACAGTATGAATATATGGAACATTCAAAGTACAGTTTAGAGGAGACTGGGGTAAAATGATTGGTATTTTGCATATTTATCATAAAATTTTGAGAGAAAAATAAAACAGAATAAATTATAAATTTTGGCAAGTCCCTCATCTAAAAGATAAAAAAAAACACTAGCTCACTACCTATAATACATTAGGAGCTAAGCATTAGGGTAAAGTGGTTAAAATAAAATTGAACATAACTCTATTGTTATAAAATGTTGCAATTTTAAAATCCACAATACAATCAAGGTTGCTAGATATTTTTCAATCAAAAACGTGAGTTTTTTTAATAATAATTTCCAATTTGCGGGCCTTAACCCGCTTTTGCATGGCATTCGGTCGAGTTTATCGATATAGCATATTCATCATACTTCATATATTATATTTAATGCAACAAAATTTTAAGACATTATTAAATTTAGTATTTTTTAATTGATTTTGTTTTGGATAATTTATCTTCGCAATAGGAATAAAATGCAAATATTCCTCAGAGAATATCTATATTTGATATTTTATAAATAATAGTAATTTTTTTAAAATTTATCAAATGCGGGCATTTTCTAATGTCATATGGCTAAGATATTTCCCTATATAGTATTTTTTAAACATCATTGATTCGTTTTTGAAATCAAAGCCTTTTCTTCATCCTAATTACTTTGTAAAATAAATTTTGTTGAATTTTTAAATTTAAAGAATTCTTAAATTTTTTGATAAGAGCATGAGCATGTAATATCTAAGACATCTTAAGATTGTAATGCATAAATATGCCTCTTTAATTAAATATTGATCCAATTCATTGGCTAGTTGGACTATTAACAAATACTACTTTTATAAATATTTGAAAATAAAATCAATTTAAAGCTTTATATTTGTAATATTTTAAAAAAATTTAAAAAGTGAGAAAAGTGTGATTATTTCAATTTGCTGTGGGAGGAAACGTGAATGACTAATGAGTAAAAAAATTTGGTATGAAATAATGAGAATCACGGCTAAATAGTGGCATCTGGCAACCCTGAATACAATATTAGAATGTAAAATATTTCATTAAAAATATCAAATTTTGAGTGTGACCATTTTAGGCATATCATACATTTCAATTATTCTTCCCCTTTATGATTATTTTTAAAATTTTATATTAAATAACACAAAAACTATTTATTAATGTTCCTTTTTGCTCAAAAATATTTTTTTATTTGGTGTAGACATCAGTGTTGTTAAATGCTACTTTTAAAAGTAGCGCGCTATCGCTACTACTATTTTATAAAAAAATTAGCGCGTTATCGCTACTTCTTTTTTGCAAAAAAAGTGTTTTTTTATTTCCACAAATAACAAATAAAAAATATGACTAAAATTTAAAATATATATATTATGTTTATATTTCATCTCAATAATAGTAACATTTCCATACTGTCATCCCCAAGTCTAGAGCGACGATCAGAAAGTATAGTTCAACACTAGCACGCAATGCAGTATTAAATTTAATGTACATAGTTTTTTATAAGAAAAATCGACAAAAATATTCATTTGAGTGTTTTTAGATTTTAAAAAATGCGTCTTATGAATTTTTAATAGTATTATTATTTATTTCAAAAAAATTATCTATAGTAGGTGGCGTTTTTGAGAAGGCCAGGGTCAGTCTAAAATTATAACAGATATATTTAGAAAGAATTATGTTGAGGATAAGTGGAATAAATGGCCATGTTTACTGACTGGCTAGGTCACCACCCTTTATCTTTTTATCTATTGAACCAATTTCTCTCAAATTTGGATAAAATCTGAAAGGATTGAAATAAGTATTTTTAAGCATGTTATGATAAAATATATAAATTAGATGAGTGGTTAATTTTAAGCATTTTTAGCATCCAGATAATAATTTTAAATATTATCATTAAATAGATGAGACTGATGAAAAAATGAAATGTTAATAATAATTATTTATTATAATTTATAATATAATTCTTAAATAATATCTTATGGCCATTTTGCGAATTCGAATAGGAAATTCCATAATATCATTATTTTCCAGGGAACTTTTTTGATATGATCTATACCAAAATTAACTTCAGTATCAATCTCTATCATCGACATTTTAAATTATTTTTAAAACTAGATTTATAATGCAGATTTTTAATATAAATTTAAATTTCAAAATTAAATTTAATAAAAACATTATGATTTTAGAATTAATTATAAATATATTTTAAGTTTTTATGTGCATTTATTATATAAATTTAAAATAGTGTAGCGCGCTACTTCGCTACTTTCTAAATTAGTAGAGAGCTACCGCTATCGCTAGTTTAGTGCGCTATTTAAACAAAACCGATAGACGATAGTATTAAAAATTATCTTTTTACAGCTTTAATCAGACAGAACATTTTAACCTATTTATCCTTAACAACTTTATCCTAAGGTGATATATATCATATAAATAGTTATGGCTATTCTATTAAATTCCGATTAATTTTATTTTGTAGCCATGACTTTAAGAAACATGTATGCAAAATTTTTAATTATGAGTGATTTTTATATTTTTGGATAAAAAAACGGTTTGCCGAATCAGGTAAGTTTTTTAAAAGATGAAAATAGGTAAGAAATTAGTTATAAAAATATAGCTTTACAGCATATTTAAGGCCTTTATGCTTAATGGTTGCGTTGGTAAATGGCTCGATTTGAGTGGATTTTTAAAAATAGCTAACTCAATATTTTC